CTTCGCTGCATCTGCAAAGCCTTGTACATGGCGAGCTGCTATGATCGGGTGAACTTGGGTGGCCTGACGCTGCTGGAAGTACGCTGCAAACGGCTGGCCGGCATCGTGGCGGCGTGCGCCGACCCCCGGAGGGTGCAATTGGAGGTCGCCAAGCATTACACGGGGGCGCAGTCAGCCGAAGATGTGGCGGGCCAGCGTGCGCGCACGTGTCGCGCAAGATACGAGTGAATGGAGAAGGGCAGCAGGCGCTGCGGGCCCCCCCCGCCGGGCCCCACGACGATGTCGGAGGCCTGGGGTCTGGCGGGGGGCAGGCAGGGCAGTGGCGGCGCCGGCGGATGAGGTGGCGGCGGCGGGCGGGGCCGCGGCGGCGGCGGCCGAGGCCGCGGCGCAGGCGCCACCGCCCCCGAGGCGCCATCCATGATTGGCGCCTCGGCCAGAGCTCCCCCCCTGGCCGAGATGGGGCGACTGGCGGCCTCGCGGGGGCAGCAAAGCCCGTTCCCGTTTCCGCTGCTGACGCCAGAGACGACGCGCCCCAGGCGCGGACAGGGGCATTTCGCCATGGCGAACGAAGCGTTGCGGGCGCTGAGCCGGACGGCAGGCAGCAAGAATTTGTCGCGGGCCGGGAACGGCCCTGACGTCCCGCCCGACGCGATGCAGGCGGACAGTTGGCACCTGCGTCTCTCTGCCCGCATCTGCGAGGCGGCTTTCGAGCATTTGCTTCGAGGTCCCTCGCCGCGTCAGACGGCGGGTTGTCGGGCGAGGGTCGCGTCTTTCAAGCTCGGCCCGGTGAGTCTCCTCGATCCAGCGCGCACGCTGACGTGGCGCCCTCCGAGGTCACCAAGTATCTGGGGGGCTATCGCGGGCGCATGTTGGCGCCTCCGTTTCACGAGCACAGTGCCATCCCGTGCTGCGATCTTGTTCTGAGGTCCAATCCGAAGGGGCACCGTCGACTCCTCCGTCGTCTCACATCGGCGTCATCTCGTGGGCCGCCGCCCCGAAGTGCCAGGTCGGCCTGTTCGCGTTGGAGATAGGGGGCGGGTCCGCCCAGAGGCTCATCGTGGACGCGCTGAGGGCCAACGAGTGCTTCTGGGCTCCACCCGGGGTCTCGTTTCTGAGCTCGGAGGGGCTGCTCCGCATCGAGGCGGAGTTCCCCGCCGACGCGCCCCTGGGGCCCGCGCGGGGCCGGGGTGCTGCTGAGCAGATTCTACCTGACAGCTGGCTTGCCTGCAGTGGCGAACTGCTTCCACTGGCCGCGGGCGCCCGCCGGCGCGCGTGATTGGAGCGGCGGGCGCGGAGGTTGGCGGCCGTCATCTGGGCCGCGTGGAGACAGTGAGCCTGCCGTGGGCCGCGCTGCCACTGGGCGGGTTTCACGTGGAGCCTGTGGATCGCCCAGATGATCAACGAGACTATAGCGCACAAGGTCGCGCCCTCGCTGCAGTGCCCCCCGCTGCAGGACCGCGGCCCGCTTTGGTGGCGAAGTTGGGCGCTCCGACGACAGCCCCGGGATTGTGCCACCGCGCGTGCGTGGACACCTCGGCGTGATCGGGGTCTGCGATCACAAGGTGGGGGCCGCCTCTGCGCCCTGGAGCAGCTGGAGCGCGGCTTCAGCCGCGATGGGCCTGCTGCTGCGCAAGTCCGTCCGAGCTTTCGCGGGGCAGCATCGTCGCGCTGGGCGCAGAGCTGGATGGCGGGGCGCTGAGGACGCGCGTGACGCCCAAGCGCTTCTGGGCTATCCGAGCCGCGCTGGATGCGATGCTGCGGCGCATGCGGTTCAGTGCCTGGTCGCTGCAGGTAGTCATGGGCCATTGCGCTGCCCTGTGCTGCCGCGGTCTCCTCGGAGCGTTCCACTCGGTCTACGCCTTGACCGGGCGCGCCCTCTCCCTGCGCGCGCCGGAGGCTATTCGGGGCGAGCGTCGGACGGAGCTGCGTGCCCTCAGGCGCCTCATGGTCTTCCTGGCGAGCGATCGGCAGCGCCGCTGGAACGATCTGGTGGCCCAGGCCGACAGCAGCCTCGAAAGGTGCGCCGTGGCTCTTTGGCACTTGCAGACTGCGGGAAGGGGGGGCGCACCTTTGAGCGGCAGCGTTTTCGGCGCATCGGGTCGCGTCAGGCCCAAGAGGGCGCCCTCGTGGCGGCGGGCTGCTGTCGGCAGGCGGACGGCAGCTGGGCGACCGCCGCCAGCTTGGCCGACGATGCCGGAGATGATATGTCGGCGGGGGCGGCTGAAGAGTGGTAGGCCGACCCCGCCTTCCCCGAAGTGCCCGCCGAGTTGTTGTTGAGGTCGGAGCAACGGCGTCTGGCCAGAGTGCAGAGATGCAGTCGCGCCGAAGGGATTATGGCGAGCGGGGCCCGAGCTCTTGTGAAAGGCCCTGTCCGAGCCGCCATTGCGGTTCACATCGGTGATGCGAGGCAGTTGCTCTCATGTGATCATATGTCCTGCGCCCTCGCCTTCCGGAGATGCCGGGCTGAAAACCTCTTGTATCGTGTCCACATTTACGTTGTCCAGGCCAACTGTGCATTGGCCAGGAATGTCTTGGGGGGCCGCGCGGTGGACCCCGTCTGAGTTCCACTTCTCAGACAACGGCGCTCGCCTTTTGTGGAAAATAGCTCCGCCATTAAGACCTTATTGGGTGATATCCCGTCTGAACTGAGTACGCAAGGGCAACATTTTTCATGGCGGTCTCCGAAGCCCAGCGTCGAGGCCCGTCGGCGAGCGCGAATGGCTTCCAACGGTGCGAGAAGGGGGCCCGACTGGGCGAGAGTTGGAAGCCCCTGCCCGTCCAGGTTCGACGGCCGCCCGCCGCGTGCGAGGCAGCTCTCCCGGACGCTTTCTTAAACGGGCCACGCGCCCTCACGCCCCCCTAGCCGGCCACGTCAAGGGCCGTCGCCTCCTCGACCAGGGCACTGGAGGAGTTGCTAGAGCGGTGGCCCAGCAGGGTTGCAACGCTGATGCGCGCGACCGAGCTCACGGACCGGCAGAGGGCCTCACCTGCTCGCGAGTGCTGGGGCGCTTGGACTTCGCCATGAGCCGGGGCGAGGTGCCCGGGGCCGGGGCCGCCGTGCGACGCGCGGGGAGCCGCTGCGGATCGAGAGCCGCGCGGGCCGATTCGGATTGTCAAGGCTCCCTTGGGCCTGCCTGAGGCCCAGCTCGCAGTTCGTCAGGGCGAGAGGCTGCGGCGAGGCAGTAAGTTTTTTCGAGGTGCCTTGCGTCTTTTCCGTTCCCTGCGTCCCCGCAATACCCCGACCAAGCTCGAGCACCCCATTAATTCCAGAATCTGGCACGCGCCCGAGCTCACAGCAGTCATTAGTCGGTATAATGGCCATGCAAGGGTCATGGGCCAGTGTCAAGCCGGTCGGTGTTGGAGAAAGCTACGAAGCTTATGTTCCTTCTTCTTCTGCACATTGACCCCTTAGGCTCCAGCAAGGTTGACCGTCGGTGCCGAGGCTTGGTGGGCCTCTGTGGTAGAACTGCGAGCAAGCATTTCATTTTAGGAGGCTAGCGGCCTCAGGCCGCAGGTGGACCGCCATCGCAGCTTCATATCCTCCGTCTCTGTGTAAAACCATGGCGCAGACACTGCTGTCCCAAGCACGGGGTGCTATAGCCTCCCGAGCAGCTGGCTGACAAACTTGCCTTCCGTGCCCGTCCCTGGAAACGTTTTTCAGTCTCGGGCAGCACTCACCGTTTTTGGGATGCCTTGAGCGGGTCGCTTGGAATGTTTTTGGTGTCCGCCGTGTCTGTGCACAGATCGGGAGGTGCCGCGGTCGCACCGACGCGTGGCACCTTTGTATCAGAAGCTGTCCACACGAATTAGCAAACATCTAACGTCACATGTGTGTTCTTGCGCGGGAAGGTGACGGGAAGAATGCGCGGTTGATGTATCCGTGTTTCATGATTGTGTTCAAGCCTTTTTTTTTCTCTCCCCCCCACCCATGCCCTCTTTTCGGGATGCGTTGAGCGGGTCGTCTCGACTGTTGTTGGCTCCCACCGTGTCTGTGCACATTTCGGGAGGTGCCGCTGTCGCACCGACGCGTGGTACTCTTTGTATCAGAAGCTGTCATCAGTAGCAAAAGCGCAGGGCCACCTGAGCATAACTTTTTGGAGTTCCGCAGGGATTTTGTGGATATGTTTTGAACCCGGCGTTCTCACAGCCAGCGGGCCCGTCTTGCCAGTTGAGCTGACACCGATCCGCAATGGCATAAACACAAATTCGGAGATCCGCGCCGTTTTTTCGGACCAGCGCTGGGCCCCCTTGCCTCGTGCGCGTAGCGCGGGGGCGGCGCCGGAGGCGCCGCCCGGGGTCTCCAGCTGCACCGCCGATCCGAAAACTCCGCGCGGTCCTACGAGTTTAATGCTTATGTCATTGTTCGTTCCCCCATTCTGTTAACTTCTATTATCTTGCTCAGCTGGGTTCTGGAGCTCGGGCCTCGTTGTTTTCGTCCGTCGTCGTGGTTTGTCCTTCCCCGGGGCCGCTCGTGGGCTTCCCTCGTGGGCCGTTCGTGGTCATACGTGGACAACCGCCGGAGCCGTGCGAGTATTCCCGAAGCTTCCCTCTTCGATCCTCGAGGGCCGTGGTCAAAATTTAGCATGTCCTTCTCCTCTTCCAGGGCCCGCCGAGCCCTGCTCGACCTTCGTGGTGATTTATTGGCGTCCGAGGGGTGCACTCTGTGATTTTGAAAGATTTTGCTGTTTAATCGTGACCCTTTGATCTGAACGCTCCATACATGTTCGGCCCGCGTCGAGCGCAGATACTCTGGCAGGTTTCCCTGCCTCGTGGCTACCACCGCCACCCCGCCTTTCGCAGTTAAGCCGAGAGTTGCAGGCGTGCCCATAGTCGTGTCTTACTGTATTTAGTTTCCCCTCCCCTGCCCGTAGCCATTTGTGCGCAAGTTTGTCGCAGAACAGAACCGCCGCAGCCATACAGTTGCGAGGCTCCACGCGGATTTCTTCGATCCGTGTTGGACCCCCCTTGGCGGCGCCTCCAGCCGCGTCTGTGCAGAAGAGATGACCACAAGCGCCCCCGCACAGCAGGAGATGAGTGACGAGAAGCATCGCCTCATGAGGGCCCCGGACAGTCCCGACCGCGTCATAATTTCGCCGCAGGGCAAGTACGTCATCAACGGCACGGAAGTGGTCATGATGGGTGGCAACTATCCAACAGTTTGCGGCAATTCCCGCCACAGTGCCAGCCCAGCATTCTGGGTGGCAATTGTTCGAGGGGTTATGGGAAGACGTCAAGCCTGACACATCACGTCCTCATGCTTGTGGGAGCCATGAGGATGATGATGATGAGATGATGAGATGATGAGATGATGAGATGATGAGATGATGAGATGATGAGATGATGATGATGATGATGATGACGACGACGACGACGATGATGATGATGATGATGATGATGATGATGATGATGATGATGGTGACGGTGATGATAGTGATGATGATGATGGTGGTGTAGATGGTGGTGGTGATGATGGTGATGATGCCAATGATGATGGTGATGGTGATGGTGGTGGTGATGTTGGTGGTGGTGATGGTGATGATGATTGTGGTGATGATGATGATGATGGTGGTGATGGGAGGTGATGGTGATTGTGATGTTGGTAGTGATGCTCGTGGTAGTGGTGGTGATGGTGATGATAGTGATGGTGATGGTGGTGATGATGATGGTGATGGTGATGGTGATGGTGGTGGTGATGGTGATGGCGAATGTGATGGGAACGGTGATGGTGATGGTGATGATGATGACGACGATGATGATGATGATGTTGATGATGATGATGATGATGATGATGATGATGTTGACGACGATAATGATGATGATGCTGCTGCTGATAATGATGCTGGTGCTGTTGATGCTGGTATTTATGTCGATGTTGCTGCTGATGCGTGTTGCTGATGCTGATGTTGATGATACTGTTGATCACGATGATGGTGATGATGATAATGATGATGATGCTGATGATGATGCTGATGATGATGCTGATGATGATGCTAGTGATGATGAATAGGATGATGATGGTGGTGAAGCTGTATGCGAGTATGATGCTGATGACAGTGACCACGACGACGACGGCGATGATGATGATGGCTGTGGTGCTGATGCTTCGTACGATGACGCTGGCGATGGCTATGGTGATGGTGACGCTAGTGATGATGACTGGTGTCATCATGTTGCTGATGATGAGGATTACGATGGCGATGATAACGATGATAACGAGTATGGTGATACCGATGTTGTTGATGATGATGGTGGTGATGGTGCTGATGCTGATGCTGCTGGTGATGATGATGCTGATGATGATGCTGGTGTTTGCGATGGTGATTGCGATGGTGATGGTGATGGTGATGGTGATGGTGATGATGAGAAGGCGGAGGAGGAGGAAGAGAGGAGGAGGAGGAGGAGGAGGAGGTAGATGGGGACGAGGATGAGGATGCGGATGATGACCATGATGTGCTTGGGCAGGTTTAGGAGAAGGACCAGCAGCAGCAGAAGCAGGCAGCAGCACAAGGAGCAGGAGGAGGATAACGAGGATGGCCCTCACCTGTGACATCGTTCGTCTTCACTCGCTCAGGAGCTCTCACGGAAATCGTTGGGGCAGTTTTATTGTTGTATTGGCCTTCAGTGAGGCAGTATTTGGGCCTTGGGGGGGGGGGGGGGGGCAACGCGCATCGGAAGCTCGCAAAGGCTGGAACCCCAACACCTTGAACATCCTCATGAAACTAACTGAGTTCTCCCTCGTGGGGCCTTTGGGGGGGCCTCTTGGTGCCCATTGGCGGGCTCCCAGAGCGGACAGCTCAACTTGTCGGTTCGTGTTACCCCTCCTGGAGCCATCTTGGGGCTCTCTTGGGCAGTCTTGGGCGCCTGTTGGACCGTCTTGAATCCCTCTTGGGCCCTCTTGGGAGTTGGGTTGGGGTTCCTAGGGGGGGCTCTTGAGTCGATTTGGGACGTTGGGGGCTAGATAAGGCGAGGACCCAAGAACCATGGACCAACCAGCGGAACTTCGCCGACGCCGAGGTCCCCAGGTGTGCATCTCGGTCCCTTGTACTGTCCGCTGTGAGCGTGTGGCTGTGAGCGTCTGGGTGCGAGCGTGCGTCCGAGCGGACGGCGGGCACGACGAGGATGACGGCGGCGGCCACGACGCGGGGCGACGGCGACGACGGCTCACAGACGGACAGGCGTCGAGCAGGTTCTCGCCGCAGGCATCCCCCTGGAGGGTGCAGGAGGAAGGAGGAGGAGGGAGGACTCCTCCGTTCTCCTCCTTCCTCCGTTGTCCTCCTCCCTTGCCCTCCATCCTCCTTCCCTGCAGCCGTCCTTCTCCCTCCTTCCTCCTCTTCGTCATCTCTCCCCCCGTCCTGTCTTCCCAGGCGAGGGCATCCCTCCCTTGGCGGCCTCCACCCGTCTACTTCCTCCTCCTCGCCGTGGCCCCTCTCTCTCTGTTCTCTTCCTCCCCTCTCACTTCGCCTTCCATTTGCGTCCTCCTCCACGTTCCTCCTCCAGCATCCCTCCTCCTCCCTGGCGACCGTTTTTCTCCTTTCATTCTCTTGCACCGAGGTGATCATACGGGGCTATGGATGGATATGAGCCTGCAGTGCAAGACGAGCGCTTGGCTCGAGGCATCCCGACAATCTGGCCGCGAACGGGCGAGCGTCAAACCCTTGGCGCCCCACCCCCACCCCCCCAGGGGGTGCTGAAGCAAGCGCCTCGCTCGAGACATCCGCACACGCCTGTCCTGTCAGCAGGGAGGTCCAAGCCACCAAACAGGCAAACCGCTCGAGGCATTTCCACAACCTGGCCGCAAACGGGCGAGTGAGATACCCCCTGGCGGCTGCCCCTCGGGGTGCTGAAACCAGCGCCCCGCTCGAGACATCCTCACACGCTGCTCGAGGCCGTCAACCATGCAAGTGCACATGCGTGTGAATGAGTCGGTGTGCGATGTTCTCTGATAGTGATGAAGACTTGTATGTGTATCTGGGCGTGGATGAGTCTGAGTGTAGACGAGTCGGAGTGTAAGTGACTCTGAGTGCGAGTGAGTCTAAGAGTGGATGAGTCTGAGTTCGAGAAGTCTGAGCATGAGCGTGAGTAGAAAGATCATGAGCGGAGTGAGTCTGAGTCTGAGATGAGTGATTCCCATTGTGAGTAAGTCTGGGTACGAGTGCGTCTGTGTGCGAGTGAGTCTGAGTATGAGTGAGTCTGAGTATGAGTAAGTCTGAGTGTGAGTGATTATGTGTGCGATGAAAGTCTGTCTGAGTATGAGTGAATCTGAGTTTGAGTAATTCCGAGTGTGAGTGAGTATGAATGTGAGGTAGACGGAATGTGAATCCGTCTGAGTATGAGTGTTTCTGAGTATGAGAGGGAACGAGAGTCGGCGGCGTCTGAGAATTCATAATAATCCCATGATTTGTACCCTTCGAGGCCCTATTGGGGAGGCTCTTGGTGCTTTCTTGGGACGTCTGAAGGCCCCTTGGGCCGTCTTGAAACCATCTAGGGCCGTCTTGCGGCCAAATGTTGCCCGGGTTCGGGCCATGTTGACCCGTCTTGGAGGCATTTGTGCCTCGGAAGCGCGAACCTGTTTTTGCTACGAGACTTGGAGGCCTCGGGAGAGGGGACGATGCGCGCGGCCCAGTGTCAGCAGAGGGGGTGTGGGGGCCCTCGAAGATTACAGACAACCTACCAGACACCACTCGGCAGTCCAGCGCGCACCAGCGTGCCACGGGGCACGGTTGTGGACATCCTGAAGGCGCCGCCTTACCTGCCCCCGCTCTCTGTCGTACAGGAGGACGCTAAGTTGATGGCCGATGGAGCGAAGGTAGGGGAACGAACAATGACATAAGCATAAGAACTCGGAGGTCCGCGCGGATATCTCGGATCGCCGCTGGAGTCCACTGGTGGCGCCTCCGGCGCCGCCCCTGGTGCGCTCCGCGCGCCAGGGAGGGGGTCCAGCTCGGGTCCGAGAAATCCGCGCGGACCTCCGAGTTGTCATGTTTATACCATTTTTCGTTCCCCCAGAAGAGCATGAAATACAAGCCGTCTGCTGCCGCCGACGGCTCCGCGAGGAGGGTCGTCCCATGCGTCAGGCTCGCCGCCATGTGGGAGAGCACAATGCCCGACATGCCAACGACAATGCCCGGCACCATCGACGGCACGTTTGCTAAAAGCTTGGACGATACCATCGCCGCATTCAAGGCGGAGGGCGTATACGTCTTCCTGGACACCCACGAGGACGCGATGTGCACCACGAACGGGGGGGAGGGGACGCCGTGGTGGATAGCCTCGCTGATGCAGAACAACCGGAACAGGGGCTGCTGCGGCTACCGCTGCTCGTGCTGCTGTTCCAAGGCGTCCTACATCACCTCCCCTGAACACCCACTCGGGTTCTGTTGCCCTGTCCCCAACTGCGTACTGAAGTGTTCCAACGCAGATTACAGGACCTTCTCGGGCGACTCGGACCCATGGAAGGCGTATTCCGTCGGCGCTGGCGACGGGGATGCGGCGCGCATGAACATTGGCAACGCCAGCATGCGGCTCAACAACTTCGACATCGAGTGGGGAAAGTTGGGGAACACGAAGCAGGCAAACAACATATGGAACCGCTTTATCGAGTCGCCCTTCGACCCCGACGACAAATCGCTCCTGTTCGACCCCTACATGGTACACGTCAAGCACCTCTGCTCCGTGTGGCAGAAGCACTGGAACGTCGTCGGGGTGGGCCTCTGGAACGAGCCCGCCTGCTCTGGGTATTCGCCCTTCGAGTTCCCGAAGATCCCCTGCACAATCAAGCGCACCTACAGATTCTACGAGGCCGTGCTCGTGGAGCTCGACGCGGCGGGCATCCAGACTCCCGTGACCCTGGAGGAGCTGCCCACCGGCGGCCTGAAGAACATGACGTGTTTCACGAAGATGGTGGGCTGCTGCCCGATGCACTCGTCCACGAGCAGCTTGCTCAAGCAGTGGGCGCAAAAGGGCCAGCTGATCCTCCAGTTCCACTACTACCCCGGCCAGTGCATGGTCTCGGGGGTGTCCGCCGCCGTGGCGAAGGCGAAGGAGCGGGCCGCGGAGCTCGGCGACGGCGTGCCCGTCATGCTGGGCGAGTTCTGGCCGGGGACCGGGACGGAGGCGGAGGCCCAGGGCGGCGCAGAGGTCCTGGCCGAGTTCGCGAGTGCGGGGTGCGACGCCTCGATGTACTGGCTGTACACCAACACCACCTACACGGACGGCAACCCGGGCTGGTACAAGTACACGGCAGCCGTGCAGGCTGCAGGCGGCCCCGTCAGCAGCACCTCGCGCGACATCAATCTGGACGTTTGGCCGGAGTACGAGAAGACGGTCCGTGACGGCACTTCGTGGGGAGCGCACATCACCGGGGAGGGAACGGGCGTCATGGGGGTCCTTGAGTTGGTGCCTGCGGCTGCGTAGATACGGCGGCGCATCTCATAGTAGCTCAGGCGCAGCGTAACAAGCACGTCGACAGTCTATACATACAACGGGGACCTGAGCTGGGCCCCCCCAGGCCAGTACCTCGACCACACATGTGAGTGCCAGGGGCTCAGGGGACCTCCAAGTCGCCTCCGAGAGCGACCATCAATCCGTCAAAGCGGCCCAAGACGGCCCCAAACCACCCCGAAGGGAGCCTCGAGGAGTCTCAGGCAGCCCGCGAGGCGTCTCAAACGGTGCAAGAAGAGGCCCCGCGAGGCAAAATGCCTGAATGCTCAATTGATGTTTGAAGAATTTCAGCGTTCTTCTCTTATCAAGCTTGTTGCGCTCTAGCCCGGCCAAAGAAGCTCCACGATCGCACCAAGACACCGCGAGAGGCTCAAGCGCAGAAGCTGGCCCGAGAGGGCTCTGAGATGGCCCGGGGGCCTTCAGGACGGCCCGGGAGGGCTTCAAAACGCGCCCAAAGAAGACCCCACAACCGAACGTGCTTCCAAGAGCCCCAAGAGGCCCCAAGAGGCACCGATGACCCCCCCAAGAGGCTCAAAGGGCTCCGAAGAAAATACGCCTCAAGATGCATCTTAAGTTTGGTTTTTAAATGTGGCCCGAGACGGCCAAAGAGCCAAAGAGCGCCACGGCACCCCAAGACGGCCAAAGAGCGCCCCAGGATGGCATGAGAAACCGCATTGCCAAGTCCATTCCGAGCCTAAGCTCAGTAACGTTTTAATATATCCCCATCCCCACGGGGCCGTGGTATCTAATCGCCACCATCCCCCCCCCCCCCCCCCAGTTCGGGATAGGCCTCTTGGAACCCGAAGGGAACAGGCCAGATCCGCACCCAGGGGGCCAAACCAGCTATTGGGGTCCAGGCCGCGCCAGTTGCCACAGGGTGTTCCTCCCCCTCCTCCTCTTCCTCTTCCTCCTGGTTCTCCTGTTTCTGAAATCCCCGAATGGGGAGTTCGGCATGCGCTGGGCAAAGCAGGTCCTGGTATGTTCCCCCCCGAGCGGCAGCGAGTGCTGTGCCCAGTCCAGCGCCGAGTGGCCCGGCTGCGCTTGCATCGGGGCGGCGGTCGGCGGTTGGGCAAGTGCCCTCTGCTCGGCCCAGTCCCCCTTGGGCACGCCCTAGCGAGTGCGCTGGCAGTTTTGGTGCCCTGCGGGGGAGCCGGCAGACCGCGCTGTCGGTCGCCGGAAGTCGCGTCCCTACCTGTTCCTCCACCATGTGCCAGCCGCCCCCGCGCAGAAGGGGAGGGGGAGGGAGGGGAAGGGAGGGAAAGAGGAAAGGTCGAGGGAAAGAAAGGAGGAAGGAAGGGAGGGAGGAAAGCAAGGACGGATGGAGAGAGGGCGGGGCGGGGAATAAGAGAGAGGAAACAGGGGGAAGCAATGCGACGAGGGAGGAAAGAGGAACGGAGGACGGCGGATGACGACGACGACGACGACGACGACGACGACGACGACGACGACGGCACCCGACCCCCAAACAGCGCTAGCACTAAAGCGGCCCTCCTCCTTCTTTTCCGCCTCCTCCTCTTGCTACTCCTCCTCCTCGTCCTCTTCGTCGTCGTCCACCTCCTCCTCTCAAGTGCATTTCGGCTTGCAGGCAGCTCAGCAACACTCTGCATACCGCAAGGCCCATGGTCGGCACCGCAGCTGGTGCCGCGCGCAAGCTGGCGCACAGTGCACTTCTGCTTCGATTTGAGTGGTGGCTCTGGGGAGCCAGCGAAATCCCTGGGCTGTTCAGCTGCTCCGTCGCGGCGACGCGGGAGCTGAGCAACACCGACAACGACTACCGCAGCAAGAACACGACGGGCCGCGATGGCTCCAAGTGCAGACGCCATGCAGGCACCAGGTCGTCTTCGCCGTGGAACCGCCGCAAGGCTAATGATTATCTGGTCTGCCTTGTCTGTCCTCCTGCCACCAGCTGGACGGGAACGTTGCAACAAGTGCCCAGCGCCAGGCTTCGATTGAACAACGCTCCTGCGGCCAAGCTCCCTGGTGCGCTTTGCAGTTCCTGACGAAGACCCTGCAGTGGCAGCTGCCATGCGCAAACCCTTGGGAGCGCCCAAGGACAAAGGAGATGATGAAGGTGCTAAGCTTCTGGCCCAGAAGTAGAGCGCCTCCAACGAACCCGCGCAGGCGCCATCGCCGACGCCAACATCCGTGCAGCTTGAGGATGCCGCGGCCGCGCTCCGCCGCCTGGAACCTCAGCAGCAGCGCCTACGTGACCAATTCCAGCTTACAGCCGAGTGGCAGGCCCAGCTCTTCGAGAAACTCGCCAACACTGTTGAAGAAACGCAGATTGCCTCCGACGGCCTAGAGCGGTTCTCATCCGTCCTACGAAGCAGCAGACGGAAGAACCCGAAGAGGACGCCGAGAGGCCAGCATCAGACGACGCACGCTCTCCTACCCTGGACGAGAACGTGTTTACCCTCTTCGCCCCAGAAGAGCAGGCCGCGCGCAAGCAGGCAAAAAGTACGCACGAGAAGGCACATGAAGCAATGCAAGCCCACCGCAAGACAGGGGAGCAAGCCAAGGCCGCAGTGGAGACAGCCAAGAAGTACCGAGACACGAACCCGACCAAGGCACGTCGACAGGATGGAGAAAACCGTGGAGTTCCAGCTGCCAGCGGCCCACTCACCGAGACCGCGGAGGCCGAATCCAAAGCCAAGGACATCAAGCACGGCTTCAAGAGTGCAGCGGCACCGGCCGTTGCGTCGCAGACCAAAAGGAGGTCCGCGCCAAGCAGCCGGCCGCCAAAGCCAAGGCCGAGGCCGGCCCCGCCTCGACCCATAAAACAGCAGCATGTGGGAGGCCTCGAGCGTCTCTCCAGGAGAAGCCCGCGCGTGTTCGTGGCGAACATCAGTAACTTATCCGATGCATTCCATGAGTTTTGCAGGGGTGCACCCTACGACCGCATGGGTGTTGTTGAGGCGCACCTCTATTGGCAAGCGGCTTGGGGACGACCGGCGCCATCTACGCGGCCTGGGCTGGCGCACCGAATGCACCCCCATTCCAGCACGACCTACGCGTGGCAAGGGAAGTTCGGGAGGCGCGCTGCGGGCGCGCGCCAGACAATTCAACTCTTCCCCTCGCCTCACTCCGTTCTCGAGGCCGGGGGGGGCGTGGAGCCGCAGGTCGTTCTGCTATGTCCTCTATTTATACATATGTATATATATATATGTATGTATCGATTGGGACGCGCCTTCATCCGTATAAACTTCGGCGTTGTGTTGGCATGTTCCTGTTCGCCGTGATCCCCTCATAATATGCTTCTTTCGTTATATCGTAATCGTGTTCTCTCGCTCTCTCTCACCCTCTTTCTCGCTCTCTCTCTCTCTCTCCCCCCTCTCTCCCTGTCTCTCTCTCTCTCTGTCTCTCTCTCTCTCTGTCTTTCTCCTGCACCAGGCCAATACATGCCGATGCGAGACCAATCCATTGCCAACCAATGCCACTGCCAACGCAGTGTGAATTAGGGATTGTTGTTCGCTCGTTGGAATTCAGTAAGAATCCTTTGTGGGCGGTGTCGTTACGACTCCTTCTTTGGGGGACTTCAATCGCAACGCCTCTGCGGAGGGTTTCGATCGGGATCCTCCTGTGGAGGGCTTCGCTCGGAATCCTTTTTGCGGGGGGTTCAGTGGGAGTCCTTCTGCGGGGGGGGGGGCAAGAGGACTCGCCAGCGCAATGCCAACGTAACGCCTAAGCAGTGCTATCGCAATGCCAAACCAATGCCACGGGGATCCCAATCCAAATGCCAATGCAATGCCAATGGGGAGAGCCTTTTGTGGGTAGATGTTGATCAGTAGCCCTATTGCTTGAGAGTTTCTATAGGAATCGTTGTTCGAAATGGAGGCACAAGGACTCGCTGGGGCAATGCTTGCGCAGTGCAAAAGCAGCGCCCAATCCAATGCTAATGGGGGAGTCTTCTCGCTCGGTAGATTACAATCAGAATCCTGTTTTGGACGGTGTCATTACGAATCCTTCTTCGGATGTTTTCAATCGAAATGCCTTTGTGGAGGGTTTCGATGGGGGTCCTTTTTTGTGGGGAGTTTCTCTAGGAATCCTTCTCGCGGGGGGTTCCGTTGGAGTCCTTTTGCGGAGGGGGCCAATAGGACTCGCCAGCGCAATGCCAACGCAATGCCGAAGCAATGCCATCGCAATGCTAAACCACTGCCAGGGCGGTCCCAATCGAATGCCACTGCAATGCCAATGGGGGGCTTTTATACATTCCAACCAGAATATAGCGTGTGGGGGGTCTCATTCGGAACCGTTTTGCATGCGAAGCTGGGCGCTCGGTCTCGCCAGCGCAATACCAACGCAGTGCCAACGGAATGCCAAACCAACACCAACGCGATCCAAATTTGATGCCAGTGCAACGCCAATGGGGTGGATTGCTTGTGGTAGCGTTCAGTTAAAATCTCTCTAAGAACCGTTTTGTGGAATATATTATCCACGAAAAGTATCCTGCTAAGGACCCTTCTTCGGAGGACTGCATGAAGCATCCTTCTGTGGAGGGATTCGCATGAAACCCTTTTTGTGGAGGATTGCAATGTCAATTATGATTGTTGGGGGGTCCGAAGGCATCATTCTTGTAGACGCATTCAATCGGAATCCCTTTGTGGAGCGTTGGGCTGGGACTCGCCAGCGCAATGCCATCGCAATGCCAACGCGCTGCCATCCCAATGCCAACGCAATACCGATGCGATGCCAAACCGTTACCAAACCAATGCCAATGCAATGCCAATTGCATGATTCCAGTCTGTCAACAGATTCCAACAGAAATCATTATGTGGACGATTTGGTTAGGGATCCTTCTTCGGAGGATGCCGATCGGACTGTTCTTATGGGGGGTCTCGGCAGGAATCCTTCTGTGGAGGGCTTGGCAATGAAGTCTTCATGCGGGTGCTATCAAAAATGAACCCTTCGTGTGGAAGGTTTCAATCGGAATTCTTAGATGGTGGGAGCCACTAGAAGTCGCCAGCGCAACGCCA